CTAAATCAAACTCGCATCTGTGAATACGGAATAGTTTCCCTAGTGTAGGAAATGATTCAAATATATAAAAGTACGTGATAACCATGATTCCCCATTATATGGCCTTGAAGCCTTATAAAATTTTCACTCATTAATTGGAATGGCTTAATTCTGGGCTGTTTGATATTATGGCCTGTGATGCAATGAACAGCTACTTGGAAGAAAATCAGACATCATAATAGCTAGTGTTGATTTAATACCATCTTGTCTTAAAACCGCACCAAACTATGGCTCTTCTGTCTCCATTGATTTTATCATGTTGTAACTTGCTGGATTCTATCGTATGTGGTAGTATAAACAAAAATTGTTATAGGCAAAGAGATAATATAGAGACCATTGATCTTTTTTTTTCTGTTAGCTGGTTCTAAATACTCTACAATGCTTTCATCCACTTGAATGGTGTTACACAGTCTTGATATGTTTGATGCTATAGCATATGAAGTTATATTCAAATATTTCAAAGAAAAAGATATGGTAACTACTAGTAAGTGAGGTTATTTGGTGGTGAAGCACTAGGTTGCTGAAAGTGTCATGCTTTAACCTTTATTGTTATGTTGTTATGCCCCCTTTTACCTCATCCTCTCCCTTATTCATTAAAAACTTATTTAATTTTTTTAAATTCCTTTTTTAAACTAAGGGGAAAAATAAAAAAATCTAGCAGGATATGTTATAGTAACTTTTTTGATTTCCTATCAACTTGAAGTCCTGTAATACCCCCGTTATCTTGTTTTGACTGATTAGATTCTATTCTGCTCTGTATGAAAGTATCAAGTATCAGAGTATAGGCAACTACTATAAAGGCAATAAGATTCACTATGATGCCCATTCTGGTTTGACTATTATCCTCTTTTGAGGTGCTGTAAGACTTACAAAGTTTAGATTTTATTGGTCTTGTTCTCTACAGTTATGTTTAACTCTATAATACCTAAAGAGATAGACAGTTGGTCTTAAGGATACAAGAGGCATTATGGTAACCATTGTTGATAACCTTGTACACTGTCTTTACATCATGTGCTATGTCTATCCTTGGTTTTGACTGACAGCTTTGTTTTATCATGCTTGATTTTATTCTCTTACAAAAAAAGTAATAAGATCTAAGGGAGCAATAAATCCCAAAATGTGCAAATTTTGTTGTAATAAAGAGAGGGAAAGAAAAGTGCCCTGAAGGATACAACAGCAAGGGTGTTTAGGTGTGTTCCATAGAAGACCATATTAATAATTTGGATTGGATTACTGAACACAACTGCTTGCAGTCTCACTGTTTGAATGTTCGCTTTGTGTGCTTTGATCCTGTGACCTGAAACACTTTTTCTAAGATGATAGCGAGTAATCTATTAACTGGTGATAGCATACTGTTTTTTTTTTGGGGGGGGGGTTGCTTTTCTGTAGTTCTGAATTACTTGTACCCGTACACTCTTTTGTTTTGTTCTAATTTTTTTCTCTTTTCCTTTTAAATAAAATATTTTTTTAAAAAGAAGAAAGAAAGGAGCAAAATAAAGAACGTTAAAATCTGAGGTTATAGTATCTTAGTTACTTTTTAACTCATTGCTGAGACAAAATACCTGAAGCCCAAAGTTGGGAAAGGAAAGTTTTATTTCTTACAGTTTTTGGAGGTTGCAGTCCACACTTAGTTAGCTCCATGGCAGGCGGGTATGGCTGGGCCATTGTCCATGGCGCCTGCAAACAGCAAGCTGGAACCAGCAAAGAGCAAAACACACCTCCTTCCTGCCATTACATCACATCCTGGCTCCACCCCTTTGTGGGTAGAGCACTGACACGATCAATCCAAGCACTAGACAATGAACAAATAAGAAATGCACAATTCAAACTCATGAGGCCTGGGGACACAGACATAAACCATGACATATAGTAAGAAAGATAAATGCTCTTAGATCTCTAGAAAGTGCAAAATTTCCATCAGTAATAGAAGGGAAATTAAGACTGAGTAGGCTGTGTGTTACTTTAGTAAGTTCTCTACAAAAGCACTTTGTCCAAAAGTGTACCATAGTTGGTACCAAAAAGGATTCTTTAATGTAAGTATCCTTATTTGATGGACAGGGAATTTTGTTTTAAGATAAGCTTGGCTTTGTGCTGTTGAAGGAGAATGAATTGAGATTTGAGGAAGATCAAGAAGAGAGAACTGAAAAGGGATGGTTGAATATAGAGATGGAATTGTCAGGTGGCCTAAAGTGGTGTTCTATGCAACACAGCCTCTCTTCTCCTTCCAAGAGTCTCATCACCCCAAAACTATAGAGCACAACCTTGTAGACACTGGCATCACATGGCAGCCAGTTGCAGTAGAGCATATCACCAGATAACCAGGTGCCTGGGGTGAGAAGGATGCAGCTGATTATAGAATCTTGTTTCTTGACTTCTGGCTGCAAAATCATCTCCATAGGGAACAAGCAGCTATTTCCAAAATACAGGGGAAGGCAAAGTAGCCCTAACCATTTATAGGCAAAGACCTGGCAACTTTCCAAGACCCATTCTGCTTTCCAAGGATATCAAGACCACCCCGACTGAAGTGCCTTCTGTGCCTTCATAGTCCTTCCCAGTGTGCCCTATAACTCAGCAAGCTTTGTCTTCTGTCTTTCTGAACTTGCCCTTTCCAGACATGGAAGGACCTCCCTTTACCCATTCCCAACACGCACTGCTTGTCTGGCTCCCAGCTGCTTTTCTCCTCATGTTTACTCAGTTATTCCCAGCTCTGGACAGTATTGCTCTAATTGACTACAAATTCACAGGAAAGGCTTGTATAGAATTGACACAGGTTAATACTTATATAGATTCCTGGAATAATATTCCTCACTACTTTCTCTTTTTATAAGGGATTCCCCTCTCCTGAATTTTAGTGGAAAATCAGTATTAGTCATCTCAATTTTCCATCCATGACATACTTCAATTATGTTTTCATAGTTGCTATTGATTACCAAGGCTGGAAAGTCTTCTCAGTGTGTCTAAGGCTAGGATATTGAACAAAGAAAATATTGTAACAATATTAATCTAAGCTTGTAGTCCTTTCACAGTGAACTTTTTCAAAACATCTGTGCTTTACCACAATACCATGTTTACAAACTTAATGGAACAGGAAACATTAACAAGGATCCCTAGAAATTAATTTAAAAACTGAAGAAAAATTGTTATGATCACTAACAAGGTTTTAACATTCTTGGCAATTAGAACACATTGTGTATGATGCCCAAAACTTAAAGGAGGAGAAATTTATTTGGCTCACAATTTCCAGTAGATTTAGGCTAAAGCTGGCTGGGTCCATGGCAGAAAACACATAGTAGAAAGGGAAAAACTGCTTGCCCCATGGAATCCAGGAAACAAGGAAAGAAGGGAGAAGGCAGAAACCAAGAGCACACTGTTCAGGCTGATTTCCCTAAGTTTTTTTAACCATTCCCTACCTCTGAGACTTTTGGGGGACATTTAGTTCTAAGCCATACCAGATTGTCTATTCTTAGATATAAAATATCTGTAAATGAATGTAAAATCTACAAACAATCTTTATACATCACACTATCTAAATTTCATAATAATTAAATGCAGAATATGAAAAGATATTTTTCTAACGGAGAGGAGCTCTGGAATGCAGTGTTTCCAGATGCCACATTGTTTATTTTTATGACCCCTGTTATTTTGGCTTACCTTGAATTTACTGTACTAAACTCAATGGTATGGACTTGGTCTTCTTTTACTCTGTAGTGTGGTTTTGTAAAAATGTGTATTTTTTGTCTAAGACTTTCATATTCCAAACATAGTTTTGAAAAATTAATCCTAACTTTGCAGTATGGCAGTAAGAAAGAATGGGTGGGTGTCTGAGGATATGAGGGTTCAGAATCCCCTTCTGGGTTCAGTTAATCATGTGCACATGGCCCCAAAAGTTTGGATTCAAGGAGACTGGGTATCACTGGCCACTTGGGTGTGCTGTTGTGTCACAGTTTTTCAGGGAAATTTGTGTGTGTGTGTGTGCGCGCGCGCGCGCGCGCGTGTGCGCACGCGCACATGCATGCATGCATTCATGCATGTGTGTATGCCTGTGTAGTGGTTTGGGAACCAGCCAGGACAGCAGGGCTGAAAATAATGCCAGGCTGCCTGCTTGGATCAGAAAGATGTCTTAAATTTACTGGATGGGATTGGACATGTGGAGATAAACACAAACTCATTATCCAGGGAAGTTGATGGTGCCATGGGTCTTAGTGTGCTCAAGAAGGAAAATTCTCTGTTCATGCATACACAGTGGATGGTGGGTAGCAGAAGGTGGAAAATCAGTGCCTGCTTAGAACAGAAGTACAGTTAGTATTAAAGCAATGTGTGTGGGAAGGATGTTTGCCCTGACCTAAGGGCAGTTCTTTTTTTCCGTTATTCTGGGTTTGCGGTTCTCTAATTTTTCTCTTTTTCATGTAAAGCTAAACTAGAGCTCTAGGATTCATCAAAGTGCCACATATTTACTGATCTGAACCTGCAGGTGCTTAGAATATGGCTCTGTCTGCTCTCATCCATTTAGTGGGGAGCTCACTCTCTGTCCATGCTCCCCTTCTTGATCTCATAAATCCTTTGTGGTTTTTGAGGCTTAGATCCTCACTGGATTATCTCTGTACACTGAAGTTTGTGCAGTCAGCAACCCACTTTTGTCTCTGTATTCCTCAAACACTAAATAGTCAGATTGGAGAGCTTCTCCAATGATATGTTACACCAGATGTCAGAGTAGAGAGTGGGTCCTACTATTCCATTGAGGTCTTATAAACTGGCTTGCTATCTTGATCCCTGTGGTATTTGGGAGTCCCTGTTAGTGCCACTATTTAACATAAGTTGCACACTGCAAGACACTCTGGGTCCACCTTGAGGCATCTCATGTCCCAGATTGAATGGAGGTTTCTGTTTTTGTGGTGCACCCTTGAGTCTGTGGGTGTAGCACAGGCTGTGACATCACCAGATCTTTTCCTATGCATTGCTAACAACCAGAGTCCCAATTGGGACAAACCTCAGACCTGTGATAGCTACCATGGACAGTATCTTCTCCTGCTGGGTGATCTTTGGTCTCCTGGGGTCAGGTGAGTCCTAGGAGTGCCTACAGTTTCCCATCCTTCCCTTCCCTGGGGGTGCTTCCAATCATTCATTTCATTTTCCTTTTCCTGTCTGTCTCCACAGGATACATGGCTCCAGGGGTAGAGCAAACTCCCAGACACAAGATCACTGAGATTGGACAGCCTGTGATTCTGAGATGTGACCCTATTTCTGGTCACCAGTACATCTATTGGTACCGACAGACTGCAGAAAAAGGAATGGAGTTTATGGTTTATATTTATAACAAGGACCCCATGGAAAAGACAGACCTTTTCAATGATCGATTCTCAATTGAGAAAACTGAAGGATCCTACTACACTATGAAGATCCATCCCGTGCAGATCGGAGACTCAGCCATGTATTTCTGTGCCAGCAGTCAGCCACAGCCTCACACAGACATTTCCTGTGCCTACAAAATCTCAGTGCCTCCTCATCTCTCCAGGCTCTGAGCATCCCTTCCTTCCTATGGAGGCAGGGATGTGTAGCTGGTGCAGTGTTTGCTTCTAGTAGGGGCAGAAAATTAATGCTAGTCATCAGAATTGTCAATAGAAAAAAGGATAACTCAGGCAATGGTTTTTGGCAAATGCTGAACGGATGTGGCTGTGGACACAAGGATTTGACAAGTGTAGCCACAAGAGGGACCAGTCATAGCCCTACATCCTTTCTGAGTAGTGTTTTTTCTATACAGTAAAAAAAAAAAAAAAAAAAAAAAAAAAAAAAAAACTTCCATCTTTGACTGAAACAGCCTTTTGTAGAGGAAGATCCTTCAGGATGCTGAGAAACATCTCCAGTCTTGCAGAAGATACCAAATCTGAACACTATGAGTGTTCGGAAGGGAAAGATATTCTGGAATAGTAGGCATCAGAAGCAAAAGCCCCTGAAGACTCTCCACTCAGGATAGGTCATAAGGCTTGTTTTGAGATGTTGGTTGCCAGTGTGAGTGCTCACTTGGTAGATGCTCACACTGAAGATTAAAGAGGTTTAAATTTAAAAGCATAATGGGAATCTTCTGTTCATACCCTCGGTGATGTGTGGAAATGCCCTGATTTCTTAGCACTATAATCTTTTAAGAGTCTGATGTAGGAAATACCTTGTAGGGAAAGCTCTGAATTTCTTAATAATAAAACATGTAAATCACATATACACATTTGAAAAATAAATAGGAAATTCTGTATGAGGCTAGCTGAATACATTCATTTATTACATACCTATTCATTCATTCACTCAGTCATTCATCTATTCTGTCGATAAAGGCCTGGCCCTTTTCAACATGTTGAAAATATGTCTGTTTCTCTGTAGGAAGACTGTGGTCTCAGGATAAAAAAAGTCACAGGACCATGTATGTTGCAAAGACCAGTGTGACCCAGGCAAGAAATTTCCTTCATGTTATAAAATCACCAGATTTTTTTCAAAGTGATGCCTCCACGACAGAAGGAAATTTTGGAGAAATATAACCTCATATTGAGGGGGATCAGATAATTTGTCACTCAAAGTGGGGGGCACCTGTGGGTGAAGCAGGTGCTGTTGATTACACAGGGGCAACAGACATAGAGTGGAGCAGGTTATATCTCACACATGTCCCAGCCATGGAGCCCTAGGATTTCTCCTGAGAGTCCTGGGTAGGAAGAAGCTTCAGATCGGTTTGATCTGATTCTAGCTGACTTCAGCTTCCTGGACTGTGGGCCCTCTTCCTTCTGGATGCATGGTCTCTGGAGCACACAGCATACTACTGGCTTAGGCTTGGAAGACCCCTAGTCTGTGTCTCTCTTATCCTCCCAGCTGGTTTCCTATATCATGTCTTAGACCATTGACTAGAGTCAGCTGCAAAGGGCAATAGAGGGCCACATACAGGATTCAGTGCCCAGTTTCTGTTTCCTTCCCCTACAGCAGATAGGTCAGCCTCAACCAGTCTTTTGTGTAGCCAGAGTAACACACATCCAGGTACCTCTGTGCACTGAAATGACACTGTTGAGGGCTGGGCCCTGAGATATATCCCAGGCCCCTCCCACAGGCAGATGACATCAGCTCCCATCCTGTCTCTCTTCCAATCTTGCCTTCCCCTTGGCTCTTCCTGTGGAAGAGAACAAGCCTCGGATTTCTCTGCATTGCAAAAACACACTACCTTTACCTCAATAGCACCTCCTTTTAGCTCCTCCCAATGTCCCACAGTAGTTTTACTTTTTCTTTTGAGTCCATATTGTATTCATATCTCATTGTGATAGGCAGTTCCACTTTCTCTTACTGGGGGTGTCTTCTCTTGTGTTACACCTCAGATTATAGAAATATTAGCCTCAACTCTATTTGAGACATTGCTGTAGGCAGCTAAGTTAGATAAAATATTATCAACACTTGGAAAGGGCCAGGCCCTTGGAGGAGCCAGTGTAAAAACTCAGATACCTTTTAACATTTGGGGAAACAGACACCTCCTACTATAGGGTATACTTCAAGACAAAAGAGAAAACAAATGCAACCACATTCTAAGGACAATGGTCATAGTTTAATATTCTAAACAAGTATCCACCACCTTGGGAAAGCCAGAAGGAGATCCTAAAAAAAATCCCTGCAGAAAATGCCATTTTGTAATCATGCCCACTTGCTAAGTAACTAGCTTCCCCATTTGATCCCCATTTGATCAATTTTACCTAGGCAATTATACTTGTAAGTTTATGGGCTGATCACAGTTCAGTACCACACACAGTTAATGTCCATCTTGCGATTTTCTATTTTTCCCTAACTTGGATGAACTCCCATTGAGGATTTGTTTTATAAAATTCCCTAGAAAAGAAAGCGTCCTTGGCAAACCACTCGGGACCCTGTCTGTCTCTTTTTCAGACAGAAGCTTTCTGTTTCTCAGTAAATATATTCTGATCTTAACTTCTGTTATTCCTAAATTCATTCTTCAATATTAGATAATATGAACTTGTACTGGACATCTAGCAGCCTGAAAGATTCTTTCACCATATCAATATTTATATAACCCCTTCTGCCACACAGTGTTATAAAAGTTGGGCATTATTTGCATAAAAATGTCAAATATGTGCCAAATATTCCATAAGTGCTTATCATTCTGAGTGAGTTTCTGAAGAATATAATTTGTTCAGGAAGTTATCATTGCTCCTAGTAGATTAGAGTTTAGGAGGTGGGAGGCTGAACAAGGCCATTAGATTTTAAGTGATGTGGTCTCTAAAAAGTAGTCGTTTTTGCTGGAACATAAGCCAAAATAAACAGGTAAGACACATTAGACAAGCTATTTTTCTACTGAGTCTACTGGGGCTTCTCAGCAGGAGAAAAGGCTTCTGGAACAGCAGCACACTGACCTCCCATCTCCACCCCTCATAGAAACACTGGGTGTGTCCTGAAACTTGTGTTGGGGGATAGGATTACAACAAAAATCTTCCTCAAATGTAGAAAACCCACTACAAAGTTAGAACAAAAGCAAAACTGTTTAATGACTGAAAAAACATTAACCAGCCCATAACCAAGACTGCAGATAATGTGCTCAGAAATTGCAAAGATAAAACAAAATCTCAACCTTTTAAATAGGCCAATGTAGCTTATCACATGTCTGTTCTCAATATAACTGTAACTAGTTCTCAACCTGCAACACAGTACATACTCTAAAATAAGTCAGGCTTCAAAATTAGAGTCTGCCTGGTTAGGATTAGCTCCTAACTAAGTAAGATAGGTGTCTATGTCAGTAACTTACGGTAAGCTCCTAAATTAGATTATGGCCCCTTGTAGACCCTCGGAAATGGGGTCCCATTTTGCTTGTTGGTTACATTTGAAAGACAGGATTTGCAAGTGCCTGATAAACATATACCTAAATCATAAAGCTGACAAGAGAGTTATCTAGCCCCACCCTTCTATCGAACAGAGTCTCATTAAGCATTTCAGGCTGGCCTTGAGCTCACTTTGCAGCAAATATTAGTCTTGTTATAGTCCTCCTGTCTCAGCCTCCTGAGTGCTAGGATTGCACTCATGAGCTACAGTGTCAGCAAGAGAATGAAAAATAAATTAAACTAGTGATGACAGTGTTTGTAAAAATAATGCCATGGGTCAAGTGCAAAGTGCCATATAGTTAATTCCATGATATTTGTATGGAGTCAATGAGAATCCCTAAAGATCACAGAGAAAAACAGGAAAAACTGGGAAAAAGAGTCAATGTGCACATAAAAAAAACATACTTGCAGATGATAACAAGTATTGTAAAATGTTTTTCAAATCATTATTCATTAGTGAAATGCAAAAGGAATTCGTATAGTGATAGAAATAAAGTAAAGAGCAGGTAAAAGTGGATATTTTTGAAAGAAAAGTTAAAATTACTCACAAGGAAACTGATAACTGAAAAATACTTCATCTATGTGCATAAAAAAAATTGCACATAATTATTTAAAAACATTTCAACATAGAAAACTACAATCCCAGGTAACTTCAGGGTAAAATCCACCAAATTTATCAATGTAAAAGTTTTGATAAAAAATAGCACTCATCCCGGATGTTGTAATCAGGGTTGTACACTGTGAACAATTAGGATTAGACATGGAGTTTATAATATTTTTATAATGGTCACCGAAAGTTAACACAGGAAAATGCAGGAAATCTATCCGCAATACCAAAGACAAGGATTATTTAGTCAAGAGCCTAAACCACATGGCAATGTTCAACATTAGTCCAGATAAAAACCCAGAGCTCAGAACAGTGCCTCCCAGAAGTCCAACTGGAGATCCAGAGCCCACAAGAAGGACTCACGTCAGTCTCTTTTATGAATCCATGCCAGAAAGACTCAAGAGTCAGCAGTGGAAGCCAGAAAGTCTATGCCAGCAGGATGAAGGAACTGTGCTTAGTGGGATGAGGGTTCTGCACTGGAGCTGAGAAGTCACACTCACAACAAAGACCAGGGCTATCCTGAAATGCACCACAGCTGTCCTCAGTGACATGGAGGCCCCAAGCTCCTCCGACAACAAGCATAGTCAGGTATGTGCCAGGAAGCAGCGTGATGAGTTCATCCTGGAGACCAAGCAGCACATGTCTTCCCCTCCAGAGCCAGGAAGCAATGCTCATGTGAGTACCAAAGCTTCTCCAGGAGAACCAACAGCACAGACAGCAGCTCATAGGAGAACTCATAATGCTTCCTTAACAACTCAAACCTTCAGTAACTCCCTTCTTTTCCCCCTATTTTTCCTGGCAACCCTCCTCAGGTGGAACATCTTTGCTCAATGCATGCTGATGTAATCCAGCTGGTGTTAAGTTGGCCACCCGTTCTCAATCCATAACACTGGACAAATACCTTCAGAAAATAGGAAGCCCAGAAAATAGAAGAGCTTCCTGCCCAAAATATTTGATGATACTAGCAATTCCTGAAATCAAACATGTTATCAGAAAGGAAAGCAACAGAGCAATACAATCTATAAACATAGATGAAGAAATCCAACACAACCATGAGAAGTCA